AAAGGCTGTGTGATACACAGAATAAACACAAATTAGGGAATACATATCATTTTAGTGATCTTTCGCTATTAAATTCAATTTAATTTCCGCGTGGTAGAGACTTACTTTACATAATAGTAGGGAATGTACTCTGTATTACATCATATCTGTTAATGTACCAAATATGTCCTTTTGTAAATTATAAGACTAAAGTGGTTAGTCTGAACTTTCTACGACGAGTTTGTTGATTGTGTTGTAGGTCTATCTGGTTGACTGTGTCGCGTTGTAAATTTGACGCCTAGTTGTAGAAATATCTGGTTGTTTGTGACGCGTTATTAATGTGACGTCTCATTACAGGAATATCTAGTTGATTGTGACGTGTTGTTTATGTGACGCCTGGTTGTAGGTATATATAGTTGATTGTGACGCGTTGTTTATGTGACGCCTGGTTGTAGAAATATCTGGTTGTTTGTGACGCGTTATTGATGTGACGTCTCATTACAGGAATATCTAGTTGATTGTGACGCGTTGTTTATGTGACGCCTGGTTGTAGGACTAAATGGTTGATTATGACGCGTTGTTTATGTGACGCCTATTTTTAGGACTATATGGTTGATTGTGACGCGTTGTTTATGTGACGCCTAGTTGTAGGACTAAATGGTTGATTGTGACACGTTGTTTATGTGACGCCTAGTTGTTGGACTAAATGGTTGATTATGACGTGTTGTTTATGTGACGCCTAGTTGTAGGACTAAATGGTTGATTGTAACGCGTTGTTAATGTGACGCCTAGTTGTAGAAATATCTGTTTTATTGTGACGCGTTGTTTATGTGACGCCTAGGTGTAGGACTAAATGGTTGATTATGACGTGTTGTTTATGTGACGCCTAGTTGTAGGACTAAATGGTTGATTGTGACGCGTTGTTTATGTGACGCCTGGTTGTAGAAATATCTGGTTGTTTGTGTCGCGTTATTAATATGACGCCTTGTTGTATGAATGTCTGGTTGATTTTGACGCGTTATTCATGCGTAGTTGTAGGAGTATCTGCTTGATTGCGACGCGTTGTTGATGTGACGCCTGGTTTGAGAACTTTCTGGTTGAATGTGACGCCTAGTTGTAGGACAATCAGGCTGATTGTGACGCTTTGTGACAGTAACTGATTTAGTTGAGGATATGTAACTCCTAGTTTTGGGTTTGGTCTGGTTGAGAATGATATGCCTAGTTACGGGCTTGGAGTATTTGACAATAGCAATGAACAGGTATACGTTCATTTATATGCTGGTTTGATTAATTTGCAGGAGAATTTCGTATTTGTCTAATAGTATTCTTGCGGACTAATGCAAATTTACAATACCATAATCTGTATTAAAACAACAGTTTATTTGGTAGGAACAGATTGATTGAAGAGAATATATTTTTACGACCAAACAGAATAAATGATTATTTTGAATGAGACGAATGATTTTGAAACAAAAACATCAAGACTGATGACGTTTAGACTATTTTATTAGTACATCCCACCGTAATGAGAATTGCTGTTACATTCCTCGTCGTGCTGTAACACAACAGTTGAAGTGCACGTGTGGGAAAAGGGAGGCACGCGCTTTGTGATTCTAGCCACATTCACGACGTCAGCTGTCAACACCAAGGATAAAGGAGCTTGTGCCAGGGTTACGTAATGTATCTGCCAGATGTGACTATGATACAGTGTACATCATTTCTATAGTAGATACGCTGTATTTTGTTATTTCTGTAATTTTATACTAGCTTACAAGACGTGTCCGTGAAATATTGGCGGGTAGAATTACAAGCACCGCGTCAAGGCAACTTCACATAGCCTTACTATAATGAGGCAGCGATTATAAACATGGAGGGTATGTTTATGAAATGTTAACCTCGGTCATTCGGTAACTTATCTCAACAGACAAGAAAGCAGAAATTAAGCTACGCGTGTTCAGCGCTAGAAACAAACTTAAGGTTGTCATAATATGAATACACAGTAAGACCTAATCACTTGCTGAATATTTTTTCAATTATATACTCCCAGCTTCTGGCCTTCGTTAGCCATGTGGTGTATAATTGTAATATGCAAGGTAACCATGAACTTTCTATAGTGTCATCATCAATGCTTTAGCACTAAACAGAACAATATCGTATTAATGTCTCACAATTAATCCGAATGACAATGATGCAATGTGATGAGAAGGTGTGCAAATATTATAAAACAGCTCAGTTCTCAACATGTTCTCTGTGTAAAACAAATAACTACGATGTGCACGACATTACAGATTGTGAAGAGGTTCATAAACAAACAATGTACATTCTCTAGCGTAATATTGTGGTCCTAGTAAACGATTATTTTAATACGGTTTGCAGACATATGATAACCCGGGCCCGCCCGTCGCCAGAAATCAATCCCGTACCCGCTATCAAGTCACACTCGAACTTCTGTGTCCGGACCAGGTATGAGAGGTCGTGGCACCGTGTGGTCCAAATCTTATCAACCCGCAGGTGTAGATAGACAGGGTATCTGATATTGGCCTTATCCGGTCTTAACAATACAGCTGTTATCAAAACGACGCCAAATATACTGAACTGTCTGCGGAATCAAGCGATAGACCAATGAACTTACAAAACGATGTACATGTATACAATACAATACATGTACAGCCATATTGCGAACAAGTTTGGTACATTTTAATAAACTGTAAAATATCAATATATATAAATATATATATATTTCCATGCAAACAATACATGATGACAATAAAAGAGTTAAAGTCCATTTCCTTGTAAAGGCTAATTCAAAGCCGATGTTACCAACTAAAAATATTGTCTTAAAATACGTTACAACAAAAAAAACTTATAACAACGCTGAAGATTCGGTAACAGTTTTCAGTGTAACAAAAATTGGAAATAATTTACTTAATTCGCTTTAAGTTAATCGGCCTTTATGAAAATGAGTTGGATTGAACTATCTAGAATTAGCGAGGTTTTGTTCCCAGAATATGCTAAGACATCACCCGTCAGTGACCTAAGACATCACTCGTCAACGTCCTAAGACATCACCCGTCAATGACCTAAGACATCACTAGTCATTGTCCTAAGACATCAGCAGTCAATGACCTAAGACATCAGCAGTCAATGACCTAAGACATCACTTGTCAATGACCTAAGACATCACCCGTCAATGACCTAAGACATCACCAGTCAGTGACCTAAGACATCACCCGTCAATGACCTAAGACATCACCCGTCAATGACCTAAGACATCAATGTCCTAAGACATCATTCGTCAATGAACTAAGACATCACCCTGCAATGACCTAAGACATCATTCGTCAATGACCAAAGACATCACCCGTCAGTGACTTAAGACATCACCCGTCAATGACCTAAGATATCACTCGTCAATGTCATAAGACATCATTCGTCAATGTCCTAAGACATCACCCGTCAATGACCTAAGACATCACCCGTCAATGACCTAAGACATCACTCGTCAATGACCTAAGACATCGACCGTCAGTGACCTAAGACATCACCAGTCAGTGACCTAAGACATCACCCGTCAATGACCTAAGACATCACCAGTCAGTGACCTAAGACATCACTCGTCAATGTCCTAAGACATCACTCGTCAATGACCTAAGACATCATTCGTCAATGACCTAAAACATCACTTGTCAATGACCTAAGACATCGACCGTCAGTGACCTAAGACATCACTCGTCAATGACCTTACACATCACCAGTCAACGACCTAAGACATCACTCGAAAATGACCTAAGACATCACCCGTCAATGACCTGAGATATCACTTGTCAATGACCTACGACATGACCAGTCAGTGACCTAAGACCTCACTTGTCAGTGACCTAAGACATCACTCGTCAATGTGCCATACCTGTTCAGATTTAGCTGACTTTGTTGAAATTTTCTTTTATTACAAGAATTTTCTAACCAGAAACGATACAGGCAGAGACATGATATATGTTGTGTCGCTACAGAATTAGCGGTAACTAATGTCAGTCCCGGGGTACGACATTGGCTATACAGCAGTGAACTGTTTCGACAGCTCTAAATTCCATGCCTCGAGGCTGCATGTAATTATGTGTCTCGTAAAAGTCGTAAAACACCACAGCTCCATGCTCATCCTTATCTTTCAAGTTAATAATCGATAACAAAATTAATTTTATTATTTCCGAAAACTTGGGAAAGTCGCATCAAAAGACTATAAAGTGACAGAGCGGTCGCCGTGGACCCGCTTCTAAACTTAGATATACTGTTCCCTAGAAAGCATCAGCAGAGAGTGTAAAGTATAACAACAGCGTTAGTCGTACTGCCACTTGATTTACAGTGTTCATAAAAGAAGGGGTGGGCTCATCGTCCATACATACCTCATATAAACTACACATAGACGACCGCACCATCATAGTGTATAATGTTTTAATTTACACGGCACTTAAAACCATTGACAGCTTTTTTTGTTTACGATCAGAATTGAATGCTTTAGACTATATGCACTCCTGATATATCCCGTACTTATACGCTGAATTATTCAAGAAATTCCCCGTCTATAGGTAATATATTGGATACAGGCTAAGTTATGTGTATGCGTGGAATAGTAAAAGTGAATTTCTGCAATAAACTTAGTTTCCGCCGAGTTTGCGGGTTGGTGCATGAATTATTTATGGTAATAAAAACAAGAAAGTGACAGAAAGCTTTTTTAAGTCAGTGACATGTGCATTTTCTGTTTTCTAAACGCATTTGCAGATTAAATTGATGTAACACCTCTTTCCTAGAATTTCTGCGGATAACAATTAACAAAAACATGCTGTTTTAAGACTTTGGAGGACCATTTGTTGTTTAACGACTCATTAAACTACAGCAAAAGTCGATAAAAACTTCTAAATGAGCAAAGTTTAAGTTTGAGACCTGAAAATTAGTTGAATAATAAAGTTGTTCAATAATACGGTATCTAAAAGAATCTAAACAATGAAATTGCATGAAAAACTTACCTTAAACAGAAAACACTTAGATACAGGTAAAATCCAATGAACGAATCACTTAGAAATAGGAAAATCGTGCTGTTAACTTCTAGAGTTACACGCTAGATGTAGACAGGAACACTTCGTAACAAGGGTTACATATGTCCAGCTTCCGGAATAACAATATATTCATGTTCCATGGGATGTCATACCGTCCGTTTATGTGAAACAAATTGTCGATCGTGTCTGCTAATCTGTATGTCATGTAGAATGCACGTGCATTTATTGTATATTAATATATCTCACTGAGAAAGCACGTCTTCCACTTAACACAATAATTAGTTCAATATGTCGCGTTCTAAGGCTACTGTCTGTTGACCGATGCCGATAAGCCACGCCCCTTGGCCTCTCAGGTGTCTTCCTACCAATCAAGCGTGTTACCTTAGACACGAGCCTACACGTGCTGGCCTAGCGACGGCGCGTGGTAGTATGTGCTGGTACAGATGCTGAGGCGGACCGCAGTACTGTCCCTTACGCTGTCTGCTCGCTGCTTGACATAAGTTGTACACACTGCTTCTCACCAATTACTAGTCACATGTTTTGTCGTTTAAACGCTTCTTTCAGACTGGGTAAAGAATGCTTTCCCTGGCCTAAAATTGATGCAGAATTACGTCGTGAGAGGAATATAAAGTTGATTTTTTGTTCACATCGCACTTTTGTTAATTATGACTGAAATCGTAAAGGAATCCGTACTCATGAAACATCAGAAGGAGCCGGTATCACACTTCACTGTTTAATAACCAAACACGTCAATTCTGAAAGAACCATTATACAGATAAAGATATTGAAGATAACTGAGTGATGAGTTATCAGAAATTCTGCCTTCTACTACTGACATTAATGGCGGTACGATCACGTTGTTTGATGCGAAATTTTACCAAGCAATAGTTCGTTTGTTGTTAGCAGAAACTGTTTTGTTGCTAACTACATTTTTGGTTTGGTAAGTGTATTGAGAACTGGTGATGCATAGTGTGTATTTAGCAACAACTTATGATATGTATAATGAGTTGAATAACAACTTGTGAATAATAAAGTAAAATATGTATTTCTTATGACAAGTATCATAATTTTAAATAAAATAAGATATGTACCTCCTTGTGACAAGTGTAATGATTGATGTAACTTTTTGTGACAAGTATAATGATTGACATACCTCCTTGTGACAAGTGTAATGATTTATGTAACTCCAGGTGACAACTATGATGTTATATTACTCCTTGTGACAAGTTTAATAATTTATGTAACTTCTTATGACAAGTATAATAAGTTCTGTAACGCCACAAGTATGATAGATGACACCCACCTATTGCTTTAAGTCGTACACGTGTTTAGTAACAAGGTGAGATATAAATGACATATCTAGCAATCTGTGACATAGATGACGTATTTAGTAACAACCTGTGACATGGATGAGAGTTACAACCTGTGACATGGATGAGGTATTTAGTAACAACCTGTTACATGGATGAGAGTTACAACCTGTTACATGGATGAGGTATTTAATAACAACCTGTTATATGAATGAGAGTAACATACTGTGATATAGATGACGTATAAGTAGCACCCTGTGATATAGATGACGTATTAAGTAACACTCTGTGATATAGATGACGTATTAAGTAGCACCCTGTGATAAAGATGACGAATTAAGTAGCACCCTGTGATATAGATGACGTATTAAGTAGCACTCTGTGATATAGATGACGTATCAAGTAACACTCTGTGATATAGATGACGTATTAAGTAACACTCTGTGATATAGATGACGTATTAAGTAACACTCTGTGATATAGGTGACGTATTAAGTAGCACTCTGTGATATAGATGACGTATTAAGTAACACTCTGTGATATAGATGACGTATTAAGTAACACCCTGTGATATAGATGACGTATTAAGTAACACTCTGTGATATAGATGACGTATTAAGTAACACTCTGTGATATAGATGACGTATTTAGTATCACCCTGTGATATACATGAAGTATTAAGTAACACTCTGTGATATAGATGACGTATTAAGTAACACTGTGGTATAGATGACGTATTAAGTAACACTCTGTGATACAAATGACGTATTAAATAGCACCCTGTGATATAGATGACGTATTAAGTAACACTCTGTGATATAGGTGACGTATTAAGTAGCGCTCTGTGATATACATGAAGTATTAAGTATCACTCTGTGATATAGGTGACGTATTAAGTAACACTCTGTGATATAGGTGACGTATTAAGTAACACTCTGTGATATAGATAACGTATTAAGTAACACTCTGTGATATAGATAACGTATTAAATAATATTAATACAATTTCGTAACGCTTTCAACTGTGTGTGAGAATCGATATATATTGTAGTTGATTAAACTGAAAATACCACATGTTAACAAAGCTATATTAGACCCGGAGGTCTGTGTCGTCTTCTTTATTATTGATGATACCAGACATATACATGTTACTGCAGGCCAAGTGATGTCACGCTCTCAACACGAATCCCAAATAGCTAGCAACAGAACCCCACTTGGCAAACAAACATCGAACACATTGAACTTCATTTCACCCAAGCAATTCGAATTTTTCTACTAAGATTATATAAAGGCAACATTTAAACATTACTGAATCCATCGACATACTTTTCTCCCTTGCAATAACTCATCACTTTGTAACCGTATAACATTTCAATTATACATCAACAAACACTAAGAATTTCTTCAGTTTAAGCCTGCTGATTATTAGTGTGTCCAAACATTTTTTTTTAAGTTGATGTCCCGTTAAGCATAGAGCCTCGCTTTCGTTTGTAAAAATGTACAACGTTCTGTCTGATTGACTTTGTCCTTGTTAACTGATAGACAAAAGATACATCGATCTTTGGACCATGTCAGTGACCGTTTCATATTTTACTTACCTGTATTCATATCCTTTTTGTAATGTACCGTATTAAGGACTAAATAATTCGGTTTCAGACCATTGCATACACAGGTTTCCTTTATTTACACCGCTTCTGTCATTTCTCGCTTCATTGTACATAGATTAAATACAGCACAGTCCCAAAGACGAGAGGTTACTACCTCAGTCAAATGATCACGCCGAAATTTATTCCTATTGGAGTAATGAATACCAATCTTATGTTGGTCAACTTGTAAACATTTATTAATGTGCTGACAGTGAAATATCATATTCAAGGCATACAAATAGATAATGGATTAATTTCTCCCAGTACATTTGTATCCACATCAGTTATCCGTATTTAGGCATGTTAATTAACGCTGTACTACAAACAGGAAAATTGAAGTACCATTTAAAAGACTTGGGTAACATAAAGAATGAATAATTTAGACGTTAAAATAGAACAACAAAGAACACATCAACTTGTCAACAGAAACATAATCCGGATCAGATTAAAAAAAAAAAATAAGGCAAAATATAAAAACGAAAGATTTACATGGAGACTCCTGAAATAATACAAGGACGATAACATAAATAAAAAGCTCAAACAATAGCTGCTTGTTTTTGCGATGCCATCGTTTCTTTTGGATTTATTCCAGAGTCCGGTTTTTAAAAATCCAGAAATCAATCCCACCGACCAGTATAAATTGTAATATACAAATGACAGTAGACACACTGATACGGAGAGACTTTCAACTGCAAGCCAAAGATTAAAAAATCATATCAAACAGGTTATGAAATAGATGAGCTATACAGATTCCATGTTAAGTCAACTCTCACGATTTTACAGTGGACAGAGAGATTTTTCTCACGTCTTTGTGGGTAGATTTGAGCTTGGAAGCAATTAGAACTACCCGAAAAGCTGACAATAGATTTCTAATTCCTTGATGATACAAACAGTATTTTTCATTGTTTTAAAACAAATCTTACTATACATCACGCAAATGACTTTCATTTTGACTTCCAAGTTGACAGATAGACAACAAACACATGAATTTGTTGGCTCCACACGCATGGGTTCTTTCCTAGAACAAACCATAAATAATCAGACCAAGAGTTGCACTATTAGAGAATACTAACTACCCCAAGGGACTTGTGATCAAACATGACGATTCAGAACAGTTATAGTGCTACACCCAAGGGAGACAAGTCGGCAAAACTCTCCGCGCCATCGGCATAACTTTTGCCTGAGGTGGACACGGTGATAACTGGCTATAGATCGTGCGGAAACAAATCTACTTCTCATATCCATAGAGACAAATTGTTGGCGTGATTTATTGACAGGCAAATCGAAAATGTGAAGTTGTGACTCTACCGAGAAATGTTCAGGGTTGGATGTGTTAAGGAGGTGATACTGTTGGGTCTCCATGTCCGCTTTTCTGTCAAATTTTGTACCTAATACAAAACAACAATATAGACATTCTTCAGGGACGCAGCCACTACACGCCATCTTATTTATACAACACTCAATCAATGATATCTAAACACTACACTCTTTTACCACTCGGTTTCGCCGTATGGTCTAGTATAACGCTTAATGGTTGCAAAACACACTATTGATTCGCAAATTTCGATACAAGTTTAGAATTAAATGCAGTAAAGATAAATGATAATTAGAACTGTACCACGCAGCTGTTCGCCTTATTATGACTAGATAAATTCAAAGATGATATACTATGAGGTTCTAAATTCTCTTAACAAAGACCTTGTCACGACCGATTTCAATTTAAGATATACTTATAATGTCTTGTCCCTAGATATCATGAAAATCAATGGACCATGCTCTTCTCACTTAGATTTCAAGGTCGCAACAGTCTCTTCTACATAAGTCACCTACATGGGACGTTGCCTATACTACAACCAACAGGGACAGATCGCCTTCGTTATTTTAATCATTAATATTCCTTTTTATTTCTATCGTGAATATACCATTCCTCGATAGTATCTATCCTATTTCCGAAATGTCAATATCTCGCATATGGTTCGATATTTAAACGTCTGTTCCCAATATGAAGATTTTCGTGGAACGTCGCTACAGCTGACAAATACACTTACACGCAGGGTTTTGGGGACGCAAGTTTATGGAGACATGGAGACATGGTGACATTGATGGTGATTTGTGGATCCCATTATGACCTTGTTGTGAGATGTCCTATTTTCGATATTTGTTAGCATGCTTAATGCTTCCCATTTGGGTAACATTAAATACTTGAATTGATGAAAATTTACATCCAAGTGATCGTCAATAAAGTAGAAGACGTCAGGCCTCCTTGAACAGTTCGTCTTGTTCTCGCTGAGCTTGTGTTCATATTATGTCATTATTTCATCAGTTTCGCACTTTAGATAAGGTTTCGATTAATTAAAGTATTTCATTTGTGTTTAAGACTCAGAAAGGTAATCTATTTTGCTGATGCGAATCAATTTAATTGAACAATAACTTTAACAACATTCTCGATATTACGAATGCAACGAAAGATTTACTGACAA